AAGAATGTAGTATTTTTTAAAAAGTGTCTATCATTGTATTTAGAACTGAAAATATAATTTTTAAGAAATGGGCTCACAATGCCAAAATAACTTGAAATGCTTTATAGTTTTAATAAATATTGCTCTCAGCCACACATGACAATATATATGTATGATTTACATATATTGCATATTTATGAAAAACATTATTCAATAGATTTCATTCCTTTTTCTAAGAGTTCATGTTAAATCGTATATTATTCTGCTAAAATAAAACTTTATCTTTTTATCCTCAACACAGTCTTAAATCAGGTTTGGCCCTCTAAATAGGTAGCAACTTATTTGACCTGATTTTTAATGTCACAGGTAGGGCATTCTGTACCCCAATATTCTTTGTATCTGCCATGATATATAAATTCCACCAAAGTAATTCCCCTGAATTTAATGACTTTTTAACTTTCCTTGAGTCTCTATTAAATGAAAATAAATTGGGGGAGAGATGGAGAAAGGCGAGCTGATGCCTTTGTAACACTGACACCTAACAGAGAATAAGGCAATTTGCCTTATTGTCATCAAGATCAGGCCCCCAGAGGATGAGTCAGAAGTGCCAAAAAGGATATTGCGTGTTTTAAAGAAGTGAGAGGGCACCAAAAACAAATTTGATCTTCCTCATGATGTTATATAGTTAAAAACCTTATAACAAAGATTGGTAATGTTCAATTCACCTTACTGTAAACATCAGTGGAGAAGCGAGTTCTGAACACCCCTGTAATCATTTGAAGGTGCTCATAAAGAAGAGCAGATGTAATCAGTCTTGGTTTAAGAAGAAAGTTAAAAATAAATTTTCAAACCTTAACATACTTAGCTTACCAATGATTTTGATTACATGGGAACTTCATTACTATAATTTTATGTAGCAGACAATGGTAGAAGTTTGTCTCCAAAGTTTTTAGAATATTCTCCTAAAAAAATTTTCATGAGAATTTTTAGTTTGACCGGTAAAGCTTACTTGTTTTTCCTTTTCTTAAGTTATCTCCCTCTTCTGTTAATTAAATTACGCTTCCTTCGGCATAGGGAACTTATCCTTATGGCCATTTTTTTCAAGCCTTACATTTTGTCTCTTCTTTCAGCCAGTCGGGTACTGAAGTAGCTGAAATGCGAAAAAGGCAGCAGTCACAAAATGAAGGAACACCTGCTGTGTCTCAAGCGCCTGGAAACCAGAGGCCCAACAACACATGTTGCTTTTGTTGGTGCTGTTGTTGCAGCTGCTCCTGGTACGTCTCTCTACCTGTACGATACCACACCTGCGCTAGGCAGTCACTAGTGTGAACATGCATGCCAAATCCTGGAATCACAGAAACTTCTCAACATGCCTCTTCTTTTCCTTTGCAAGTAGGAATTATTGAAGATTATCATTGATATAATGCAAACATTTTCCACGAGCAAAATATAATATTTCCTCAGAATCTACATTTAAATTGCTAGTAAGGTAAAGAATGAACAATTATTTTATATCATGGTTTTCTTCATCCATGCTTCTTAAAGATATGGGTGAAAATAAGATTATTGTTGTATATATATTTGTCAATAAACAATATTCTCCAATGCTGCAGATGATGCAGGAACATTAAGATAACATCTGGTAGTATAGTAGGATAGTATTCAATATCTACTTTTAGTCATGCACCACTTGATAGGGTGTCGATCATTCAGTTGCATGGCCAGATAACCGTGAGTCAGGGCGGCAACCTCAGCCACAGAACTCCCACCAAAAAGGATCAGAGAAGAGTCACAGACTCACAACCACCCATCTGAAAGATCAGGAGCTATGCTTGGTATGAAGGCCAAGTCATTTGATTAAAAATCCTGAACCTAGAACCAGACAACCCACTTTCCATTGCAGTTTTATCACTGGCAGGCTCTGGGACATCATGCAAAGTGGTAATCGCTTTGTTCTTTGGTTTCCTCATTGACACAACCATGAAGAGTTAGACACGCTGATTCCCAAGGTCCCGTCTAGTGCTAAATATCCATGATCCATGGATCTCAGAGAACCTGATCCAGTTCCAAATTCTCAAAGTGCCTTTCAATGAGAAGATCAGTAGGACCCAAAGCCCTAACATTTATGCAGATGAGATTCCTCAGGGGAATGGTAGATTTCAGGAACTTTCCCTTGAACCTTACATCTTGGGGTCTTTTAAGATCCCACGGGGATCCTCTAGACCAGCCATGGTCTTCTAGATCTCCCTGGCCCATTTCAAAACCTAAAGAAAGGCCCGTATGCTTGAGTCATCTTCATATGTGTGATCTCTACAGTTTCCCAACATATTTTTTTGATATGATGGCAAAAATGTGTATCGTTATGACAAAAATAGAAGATGAAAAGTGTTATACTATAGAGGTGCCCTTGATGGTGAACAAGCTCCACCCACTGTAGAAAACTCTGATTCCAGAAAACCATCAGATATTATAGTAATCTGGATGGTTTAAAGTAGTTTTTATAAATATCAAAATTGCTTTCCAGATTATGATTCTTTGTTAGAAAGCCATACATAATTTTTTTTTTCATTCTTAAGCTTTAACAATTTCAGATGGAGGAAACAGAATTCTAGATAAGGTAATATTTCAGTCACAGTGTGTAATCTTGACTGTGTGTAATCACTCCTGAAGAGATCATCCAGCTCTGGTCTTCATCCATGAAATACCGAGTAGTGACTGGATATGGTGGTTCTGAACTCAGACTACCAGGGTTCAAATCTTGTCCTCACTCATCACTATCTGTGTAACCTTCAGCAAATTTGTTGATCTCTCTGGTCCTCAGATTTCTCATCTGCCAAATGACAGCAATAAGAATTCCTACCTCGTACGGTTATTATAAAATTAAATGAGATAAAATACATAACAAGCCTAGAACAGTGTCTGACAGATAGTAGGCATTTCATAAGAGTTAGCTCCCAGGGCTATGGAGCACTTCATATGGGAAAAGTAAGATCTCTTTAAAGAGGAGCTGGCTTGAAATAATGTAAAAAAAAAAATCTGTTTTATTTTAAATTCTACATAAAACATTGCAAATATATTGTTACGCAACGTTGAGGACTGTACTTCTGTTTCTCATTTGCACTGTGCCACATATGTAATCAGTGTCTGATTTTATTTACCTGCCAAAAGTTGTTTTCAAATTGCTTCAGGATTAAAACACCAGAACATATAGAGTACTGGAGTTTCGTTTGACTGATTACTAGCTGCCAAACAAATATTTACTGGGACTTGATGTTGTTAATTTTAAAAGTACATACACATTAAATAACAAAACATTCAATGTTAGCTCATGAGATTGTCACAGAACACAGACAATGGATCAAGAATAAAACAGCTTTTGGAAGGTGTGCCAACTCTCCACACCTCTAAAGTGGATTCCCAAACACCTGGTGCATTGGCTGCCTGCTCTGTTAGTTCTAAACTAGGGTATCCTTGTCAGGAACTGCATTTGTTAGCAATGAGTGACGGATGCCTAAGTCTACGACATAAAATGTACAGTCTATTACAAGTCTTTCTGCATATGGCAAATGATAGATAATTTCTAACATAAACAACTTGATTTTGAAAAACGGTTGAAAGTTAAATTTCCTGGAACTATGGATTTTAATTATGACTACATTGTCTTATTGCAAATGAAAATGTCCTTTACGCAGGCATTTTAAGAATATTGTTATTTTTGCACTTTGAGTTTAGGAAAGAAAATTGTAATGGCTTTTTGGA